ATATTAAGTTTTTCTTCATTGCCCATTTAAGCCGTCTCCAGCCATTATTAGTCTCAAAGTGGGTTCCTCGTCATCGAAGATGGTGGAAAAGGCTGTAAGTTGTGCTGAAAAGCATCATTGATATGGTTATAGAATTTAGATGGACAGGCAGTTCATTTCAAAGAACATCCACTGTAGTTGTCTTTGAAAGTATTTTATTGAAAGAACATCCAACTAGGTAACTTTGAGAAAACAATTTGCCAGCGCAAAGCCAACATGTTGAAGAACTCCAGAGTTCTTTTCTAAACCATTTTCATAGGATCACCAAGAAGGTAGTCGCCAGTAGATTTGCTTGACCACCAATCAATGGAAAACTCCTCTAATCAAAGGACAGAAAGTAATGGCAAAAGACCATCTCATAGGTATGCCTATACAGCTTGGAAAAGAAAATCACCAAAAAGACTTGGTGAATGGATAGTTTAGTGTATTGTTTTATTTGTGTTTCAGAAATGTTCAAAGAACTTTGTAATTCAAGAATAGGGTAATGTTGTAAGCTATATATTCAATGTTATAAATTAGTTGTTTGTGTTATAGAAAGCTGTTAATCTTGATGATGACATTAAATCTACATAGGTCATAAAAGTAGTCCTACGATACATATTAAGTTCTTGATTATCTAATCATCTAAAAATGTTGTGGAACTTGTAGAAACGAGTGTACATTATGATTATAAATAATCAGTGCGTAAAAATTCAGTTGAGTATTCAATGCGCTTATGAATTAAATGTTAGGAAAAGATTTTCGGTGATGGTTATTATGTCTAATCAGTTAATCGAATAACTAGTAAGGAAATTCCGCATGTAAGTTTATTTCTGAGTTAGGCTCACTTACAATAGTTATGGAAAATCCTATTAAACGTTGTTAGTGTATCACACCTACAGTTCTTCCAGAACTATCTCTTGGAAAATTTTATATATGAATTTAGGCTTATTAGTGAAAGTGGCTGTTGCGAGTGTTAAAGAAGAAATAAATTAAAACTGTCATGTTGGTAGACTGGATCTCGAATTATTTTTCCGAATAATAAAACAAAAACGACCCAAAGGTGAAACACGTTACAAATAACTGTTCTCTGACAGTAACAGATAATTATTAGTGTCACTTTTTCAAAAATTATTATATTTTATATAAAAAATGTTATGTCTTTGTATGTTAACGCAAACTTTTCCATCCTTCAATTCTTAAGTCACTTTTTCTTTTAATCAATTTTTACTCAACTTATCTCATAATTCTGCTTTAACTATGTTACCTTTCTTTTAACTTATATTCTATTTTTTTTCATTCTGAAACGAAGAGAGGGCGTTGTCATTTGGCGTGATTATCTGCTCTTCAAAAATAGTAAGATTTAGTATCAATTTTATAGTATAGTAAGATTAATAATAATAATAGAGTAAATCAATTTATTTTGATGGTATAACTTTAACCCGAAGTATTAGGATAGGAAACAGAAAATATCCTTGACAGTTCATTAGAAGCTATCTTGAATTATTCAAAAGGTATCTTAATTAAAATTTAAATCTAGTATAATAGTTCTATAATGAAGATAAGACGGTTGATAAAATATTTTACTTACAAGTGACAATACGAGGTTCGAACGTTTCAGAATAACTTATTCCATATTCAGAGAAATCTGAAAATTGTGTTACAAAAATGATTATTACAAAAATTATAATATAATAACATAATCATTAGTTTAGTTAGTTATTAAGAAAAACGGTAAATGGAGTTAAGTGTGAAAATTTAGAACAATTTTAGTTATAAAGAGCTTTGTGAGTCGTTAAGGGTCGGGAGGTCTTTAGCTATGAGTAGACTTTTTTAATGTAGAGGTCAAGGTGTGAAGATCCGATGGTTATGATGGAGAAATCGTTAAATGAAATATTGTGGCCTGTGGTTTTAGAATGTGAGCAAATGGATGATTGGCTGGGTTTAAAAGTAGTGGATGGTTGGTTCTGTTACTGTTAGATGCTCCTAAATGTTCACGGACTCTAGTTTTTAAATTCAATTGGCCTTTCGTTTTGCCAATAATAGTTTTAAGTTATATCAGTTATATTATTGTCATAAGTGCATAATAAAATTAATAATATTATTCTCACATATATATACATTAATTTTATTATTATGCAGTATTATTAACACAGGGTCTCTTCCATAATCAGAGGTGTCTTGATAGCAGGGATTGGACAGAGAGAAAAAATCTGGGAGTTTTCTAACTTGGTGAAACTTAAACAGGATCTAGCATACATTCACAAATTAAAATTAGAGAAAGGATTAATAACATAATATTATGTATATAACACAATTTACTTATTATTTTGTATTTGTATTAACCTTACCATTATTCAGAAGAACTGTGAACCAGTTTATTGCTTGGGTTTTTCTGGCTTGTGGTAAGTAATTGTATATCAGGTTCTTGTTAGTAAAACCTAAAGCCTTCTGCTGAGTGGCTAACTTATGATGAAAACAAATTCATAAGGGCCACTTGATCCATTTAAGCTATCTGATTTTCTACTATTACTCTATTACAAACTATAAAGAAACCACTTTCATAAAAGTCAACCCTATTCTCTTAAAACACTCGTCTCCTCCTACACTCTTTCAATGTTTTAACTTCTGAAGGTTAACTAATCCATAGGCTGACTACCCTATTAAAAAGTAACAATGCTTTCACTGGAGTTTTGTAAGAGATTTGCTATATCTATAGCTGGTGTCCTGTAGTCATACTCCCTCAAGAAACATCATCTTCAGCCATGAATTCCTAACCTCTAACAAAATATTTAAAACATCAATCATGTACCCGTGAGTGTACATGTACCTCTCCATTGAAAACATTTCAAGAAATTTTAACCTATCCCTCTTATAATAACCTTTTTTAACCTAGAATAATAGTAGCTGTTTTCTAAACCATCTCCAACAACTAAACATTCAAGGAGCTTTAGTTTTTTACTGAACTTGGGAATAACCTTAACAGGGTTATGAAAGAATGGGATCTTGGTGTAGTGGTTGATCAGTCTCTTAAGCCATCCAAGCAGTGTGCTGTTGCTGATGGTAGGGCAAGTAGGATTTTAGGTTGTATGTACAGAAATATTGAATACAAGTCTAAAGTCATAATTTCATTGTATACGTCACTGGTTAGGCCACATTTGGGGTATTGTGTTCAGTCTTAGGCTCCTTACCTTAGGAAGGACATTGAATTATTGGAAGGGTTCAGAGGAGGGTTACTAGAATGGTGTGTGGTATGGAGGAGTTATCACATGAGGAGAGGTTAAGATATACAAAATTGTTTTCTCTTGAAAAAAGAAGAGTTAGAGGGGATATGATTCAGGTGTTTTAAGATTATTAAGAGAATTGATAGTGTTGATGTATCATCTTTTTTTTCATACTTAATGATGAAACTGGTAGTGTAGGCAGTGTAGGAGTCATCTTTAGCTAAGAAAGTTTTATTTTTCTAACAGAGTTGTTGGCCTTTGGAATGGGTTACCTTCAGATGTGGAGGCAGTAAATTTGAGTGAGTTTAAGAGAAAACTTGATAAATATATGAATGATAATGGTTGGCTTTGAGGTTTGTTTATTTTTTTATTTAATAGTTTTAGTTTAGTTCAGAGGATGGGACAGCCTAGATGGACCAATAGATCCCTTGTTGTCCCTAAACATTGTTATGTTATCGAAAGTCCTAGAAGATGGATAATAAGGAGCAAATTAGCCTTTCATCAGGCTATACCTCCAGTTGAGGCTTTGAATACTGTTGGCACCATAATAAAACTAATTTGATCTGATTAGGATCTGAATTATCTTATTAGTTATTCTATATTGGTTATAAAACTTTGAAAGTCAAAGTTACAATACTTAAAACTTATATTACATAATATATTAATGTTATCTTAACTTTGTTTGACTTGTTTAGACTACTTTAGATTTACATGGTTGTCATTGTTTAATATAGAATATTATAGTAGAAGTCATTTGCCTTTCATATAAAAAATACTGAACATTTCATTACACAACTTTTGTAAAAGTTGAAGCATAACACATCATAATAAGTATAAAACATTACCATGGTTAACTTAGAAAATATAAACTGTTGTTAGACAATAATATTAATAATTATACTGCATTATATGAATAGTTTTATTCTTATTCGTTCCTAATGATTTTTAAACTGGAAGATAAAGTTATAATTATTAAAATATTTATTTAACAAGATAAATTTACATTATTCTAAGTTTTATGTTGATTTAAAGTTGAGGCTACTAGACACTAAGTTCTTATTTTGGCTTAGTACTTGTTTGCCTAAAAATTAAAATGAGTTATGATTATTAGTTTCCCTGTATTGGTTGCAAAGCTTTTGAGTAACTGTGTAGTTATAGAGACAACACTTTAGACTCTAACATTGTCATTAACATACTTATGAATGGAGTGTCTGGAAACAGCTGACATGTAAATAAATGTTTTGGTGCTTTTAAACATTTAACATGCCCAAGCTTAATGTATGGTTTTGAAATTATCCAGTATCTAATATTCCATGCACATGTGCTTGATGTTCGGACATTCAGCACTATAGGTGACACATACTGTCTGAATTTGTCTTGGTTAATTTTAAATAGTGTTACACTGGAAATAAACTATTTTGATACAATATGTAATAAAATATGCCTTACGTGGAAATGTTTTTCAAAAACTGTCATTTAACAAATGTGGTTTTTTAAATGCTATCATTATCTTTGTAAAAGTCTGGATGATGCTGCTAACTTTTCTTAACCTTTTCACTGTGGTTGGGATGTATAGGTTAAATAAGAGCATGGCTTATTGTAATTGTGAAGGTGAATGTGATTCTGCTCATTACTGATTGAAATAGATTTGACTGTTGAGAAGCACAAACAAGCAAAGTGTTGAATATTTTAAAAAAAACATTTTTAGTACTAGTAGGTTTGTCTATCAAAGTCCATAAGAACGCACTAGGCTTTGGCAGCTTCACTTAAAAAACCAAAAATTGTTCTTGGACTATACATATACACCTCAGAATCATAATTCATTGTACAGAGAGAAAATAACAAAGAAGTACCTGATCAATGTGGTACTTGTAACAGTGGTAATATAAAAACCAAAGGATGTTTTAACAAGTGTGTTGTTTTCTTTGTGAAAGTTCATCCATAAGCAGTAATCATTGTGTCTTCAGTTTGATTCATTATTTATGTAGTTTGTAAACAAATAAACATCTTTCCCTTTTCTAAACAGACATGTCTTCTTCAAGATCTCTTGTTTCTGAAAAGGCAGACTTCATTTTAACACGCAAGGTTGCTGTACAAAAAGCAAGGACATCACTTTTGTGGGGAGTTTTTAGTTTCATAATAGCAGTGATATTATTTATAGATATGTAAGTGTTATTTATTTTTGTAAACTTAACCCTTGAATCATAAACTTCCTTTCATTCTGTTGACCATCCATTGGGCCAATATATTGCACCATCCTGAGTATTTTTTGTGTTTTTGCATACTCAAACACTTTATGTGAAGAAGTGACCTAAAAATTGAGTAATATCACTCATTTTCTTTTCAATTGTTTAGAAACCCCAACAATAATTGATGGGATTAATAACAGTATCTAGAAGTGTTTTTGAAATGTATAGGAACCCCAACAGTAATTGATGGGATTAATTACAGTATCTAGAAGTGTTTTTTGAAAGTAATAGGAACCCCAACAGTAATTGATGGAATTAATTACAGTATCTGGAAATGTTTTTGAAAGTAATAGGGTCCCCAACAGTAATTGATGGAATTAATTACAGTATCTAGAAGTGTTTTTTGAAAGTAATAGGAACCCCAACAGTAACTGATGGAATTAATTACAGTATCTAGAAGTATTTTTGGAAATATATAATAACCTCAACAGTAACTGATAGAATTAATTACAGTATCTAGAAGTGTTTTTGAAATGTATCGGAACCCCAACAGTAATTGATGGAATTAATTACAGTATCCAGAAGTGTTTTTGAAATGTATAGGAACCCCAACAGTAATTGATGGAATTAATTACAGTATCTAGAAGTGTTTTTGAAATGTATAGGAACCCCAACAGTAATTGATGGAATTAATTACAATATCTAGAAGGGTTTTTTGAAATATATAGGAACCCAATGATAATTGATGGAATTAATTACAGTATCCAGAAGTGCTTTTGAAATGTATAAGAACCCCAATGGTAATTGATAGAATTAATTACGGTATCTAGAAGTGTTTTTGAAAGTAATGGGAACCCCAACAGTAATTGATGGGATTGATTACAGTATCTAGAAGTGTTATTTGAAAGTAATAGGAACCCCAACAGTAATTGATGGGATTAATTACAGTATCTAGAAGTGTTTTTTGAAATATATAGGAACCCAATGGTAATTGATGGAATTAATTACAGTATCTAGAAGTGTTTTTTTAAAGTAATAGGAACCCAATGGTAATTGATGGAATTAATTACAGTATCTAGAAGTGTTTTTTTTAAAGTAATAGGAATCCAAACAGTAATTGATGGAATTAATTACAGTATCTAGAAGTGTTTTTTGAAAGTAATAGGAATCCAAACAGTAATTGATGGAATTAATTCCAGTATCAAGAAGTGTTTTTTTGAAACATATAGGAACCCAACAGTAATTGATGGGATTAATTACAGTATCTAGAAGGGTTATTTGAAAGTAATAGGAACCCCAAAAGTAACTGATGGGATTAATTACAGTATCTAGAACCGTTATTTGAAAGTAATAGGAACCCCAACAGTAATTGGTGGAATTAATTACAGTATCTAGAACAGTTTTTTGAAATATATAGGAATGCAATGGTAATTGATGGAATTAATTACAGTATCTAGAAGTGTTTTTGTAATATATAGGAACCCCAACAGTAATTGATGGAATTAATTACAGTATGTAGAAGTGTTTTTTGAATGTAATAGGAACCCCAACAGTAATTGATGGAATTAATTACTGTATCTAGAAATGTTTTTACACATTTGGATGAAAAGGAAGAATTTGGACAGTGTGACTTTGTTTGAAACTATAAATTTAAAGAATATTTAATTTCACTTGTTAAGCATTATTAATGTGAATATACCTGTACAGCAAAAATATTAATGCATTAAGTACAAGGCTCAAGGTTGACCGAGATGCCTAAAAACTTTTTCGGATGACCAACTTACACCCTGCTAGTTGTCCGACAGCAACTAGCACCCTGGAACAGACCCTTACTCAAAATAGCATCACAGTCTACTGTATACTTAACAATGCTCACATTACACATGTAATGTTGACTCTGATTCTTTACCAAAATCATTGGTAAATTCCCTAACTACAAAAATTGAAAATTTGAACCCCCACAGAAATATCTTTCGTACAATTCCCCAAAAGGGGCTAGAAAAGTTTGCTTTTGTGATGAGATAATAATGCTGTTTTAGTCACTAAACTTTCTGTCGTGGACAAACTGCACCTCTGTGTTGCTTTATGCATGTAAATTTTGTATGGAATTCAACTGAATGTGGATGGATATGTGTGGTAACACAGTAGAGTGTATACAGGTCAGTTAGTTACAGTTCCACACATTGTATTGTGCAATGTTTGAAATATGTAGGCATGCAGGAATTGGCAAAAAAAAAATGCCAATAACAAAAATATTTAGTGAGATTAATTTCTAGTATAGATGCTTACGAGAATAAAACTAACGTGGCTGTCTCAACTTCTTACTGATAAACCTTTGATAGGAACAAAAATGATCAAATTTACAAAATCAGATTCAAAATTTTCATCATTAATCATCACAGTTGAAATACTGTCGTCCTTTTGATTATGCTTGTATAGGCCTAAAGCTAATGTTAGACAGACATGACCAATAGGGTCTAGGAAATACAGATGGCCTAGCTATCATGAGAAAAGTGTGAAAATCCACAAATTAAACAGAACATAATAATGATAACGGCAAACCAAATTTTACGAAAGTTTTGATCAGTGTGAAACAGAATAACTATAAATTTAACAGGCTATGAGTAAGAATGACATTAGATATCAGCAGTATGTGTGTGTACATATGCAGTGCTCAGGCATTGTGTACATATTATGGTATAGTAGTATGTTGAGAGTTCCAATGCAAGTCTAGTCCTACTTAACTACAGGCTGTACTTGGAGGGCAGGCCAAGCTGACTAGAATGAAAAAATTGACGAGATTGGCCAAGATTGCTATTCTGTTTAAATTGACTGTTTGTTTCCTTAGGATACTATGTAACATTAGCTTCATTTTGGCTTATTTTTTCCAATGTAACAAAACTTCCCAGGAAATAAGGCTTCAAAAATTAATTGAATAAACATGCAAAATTGATAAGTAAACATTAATTGTATGTTTTAGGAATAAATATGATTAAAAACATCAAAATTCTTGTAATTGGGTCTTTTTCAGGGTTTTTGTACTACAATATTGTCATAATTGGATCTTTTTTGAGGTTATTTGTTTTTTTTTGGAATACCAATACAGCATCTGGACAACCTGAAAATTTCCTTAAAATCAAGCCCTGAATTACTATGTGACAAACACCTGTCAAAATGAAATGAATGCTTTCAGGGTACATGAGTGCATCACACGTGCTGACGATTAATCACAGTTTAGAAAATGCTTTTAAAACTGATGGCCATTATTTCACACTGTTGCCCAACATCTCAATTTTCACTGTAATTTACTTTTGGGAAGAAAGCCAAAGTTATCTTGACCTACATTTTACGGAAAATTCATTCTACATGAACATAGACTTTCGAAACAATGATTTAACAGAACAAAAGAACAATAATTTATTGAAGTTGCATCATGATACTTGGTAAGTTCGGCCATGTTGTTGAAAGGAATTCCACTTTCTTTGGCTGCCTTCTTATTGAAGACAGCTGTGAAGTGTGATTTGAAGCTTATGATGCTTTATTGTCTTGTTAATGGTACCCAGAGATAGGTTAAGCTTTACTACAATGTATTTTTTTTGGGGGGGGGGGTCTGTTTCATAAACATGGCCTTTACACTATTAATGAGTTATGACTCATGTTTGGCTTGGGGTTTTGTTTCAGAGCATATTGCTGTAGAAACATCTTGCCATATAAAGAACTTTTGATGCATTTTATGTCAGATAAGGAACTTGCTATGAATCTAATATATATATATATATATATATGTATAATGATTATGTTGCCCATGGCACTATGGCTTGATTTTCACATATATGCCACTAAATTACCATATGCAACTCATTTTTATAAAGCAAAATTAACTTTCTATACCAATGATGTTGGTGTTAATGCTGTAAAGTCCAATCTGAATCCTTAATTAGGAGATGTTGAAGGACACCATATCCTTGTAACTTGAATACTCAAATAACAGGATCTCTGAAACTTTCTGAAGTGTTAAATGATATTTGTATGGTTATTTCTTATAAGGACACAAGTAACTAACATATGTATCATAATGTTTCTTCCTTTAGTAAACTAGGATCTATTTCTCGCTATTTCTGTGAAGATGTACCTGTGTTATGGTATATAGGTAAGTTGATTATGTTTGTTTATTCCAATTAATTGTGTACACTGTATCAAAGTAAAAGCATGACATTACATAGAAATTGACTTCTTATTCTCTACAGTAAACTAAATCTGTTAACCTTCCCTCAACTGACAGGTTATAAGGGTGCAGGTTTAGAGGGTTTAGGGTGTGCATGTATATAACCAATAGAAAGAGCACATTCCAAACTACTTAAATCCAACAGTCATTTATAATTTGCTTCAAGGGGAAACTTGTATATGAGTGGAAAATTTGAAGTCTGTTGAGTAAGTCACTGCTCTGAACAGAAATGATATTTTTAAACCCACATATAGCTGAGTTAGAAAGCCAGAAAAAGAATAAACGAGGCTTAGAAAGTATGGTGCATGCTTACACATCAATTTCATAACATTGTAAGTACTAGAAATCATTCTTTTTATTTATTATGTTATATTTTAAGAAAAAGAACAAAAATAAAGAATTGATGAGTAAATAGTAATGATGTTTATATAAAAACATATTTTGTACACCTATCCCAGTAAATTCCAACCACCTCTGGAGGATAACTAACATCCAGATACCTACCAAAGCCTAGACTTTGTACAGAGCCATATCACACTTTTATTAGTCTAGACAATTCTTGTTGCAACCACTGTACTATAAACAAGTTGATAAATTCTCTTCCACTGTGTTGTTGGAGACAAGAATACGATAAACTCTGTGGGAAAATTCTGATAGCTGCACTATACGAACTTATTTGCTACTGATGGTGTCAAATTATAGTATAACGTAAATAGTGTAAAAGGCAGGAGTAGTGATTAATAGCTTTATGATTGGCAGGTTTCTTCAGCCACTAACATTAAATAAACAGGTGTGAAAGGGTTAAAAGTAAAAACCTCAAGGGAAATAACCTTTAAAATTTTATGGTGGTTATGAGGTCAGTCAAATTGGTCAACCCCATATAGAGTTATAGTAGAGAAAATAAAAGATAAAATATAAAGTTTTTTGGAAAATAAAATGTTTGATACTTATTTAGTAGGTTTTAGAAATTTAGTAAATGAACTTTGAAAATTTTTGGATGAAGTAAAGTATTTTTAATCTTAATATGAAAATTGCTTTGCAATTGTAGCAGTGAACACTCAGACTCCACATATTCACAGACAAATTTTTAGTAAAAATAATTATAAATTCTGATTTTTTATCTATCAAAGACTTAATGTTTACTAAAAACTTGAAATGTTTTGTAAAGATACACAAAACATGTTAAAAGCAATAATATGGAAACTGGTGGGCGGTGTAATCTCGAGTCAGTAATGAAAGAGTTAAAGCATTACATTATATACAAATTGACTTTTTATCCTGCATAGTAAACTAAACCTGTTAAAGGCTGGTATTACATATAAACTTCAAGTTGGTAAAGTTCTTTGTATTCTTTAGAGATTATACTGATTAAAAGGAAATGTGAAACTTCTAATTACAGTAGTTAACAAAGGGTCTACCTTTATATGAAGCAGCCAAAGAACTTGTAGCTAATGCTTCATAACATCAGATACTCAATACTTTGTTGAACAAAACATTCCTGGAGCATCATATATATTTTAATAGATAATTTTAAGACAGGAAAAAATAGATAATTCTGAATTTTTTTTCTAGTAGCTCTACATTGAAATATTTTAACAATATTCAGTAAGAAAGTACTTGCCAGTAGAATTTAACAGTATTCATTAAGAAACCATTTGACACTAGAATTCAACAGTATTTAGTAGCATAACTTTTTTTACATATTTCAAGAATAGTCTAGCAAGACAAATTTTATTGTGATAAGAACAATCTCAACTCTTTAGAAAGATGTAATATGACAAAAAGAATTTATACTCCTTAGAATGATGTAATATGACAAAAATAATTTATACTCCTTAGAATGATGTAATATAACGAGAAGAATTTATACTCCTTAGAATGATGTAATATGATGAGAAGAATTTATATTCTTTAGAATGATGTAATATGATGAGAAGAATTTATACTCTTTTAGAAAGATGTAATATGACAAGGAGGATTTATACTCTAATGAGTTATTCTTTTATTGTAATTTTTGATGAATGGTCCACAAATGTCAGTATAATGTAAGCATGGAAGTGTGCATTATCATCGATGTGATACTTAACCATGTTTTAGTTTGTGCTATACTAAATTAAAATGAAGTTCAAGCAGTTATATTCACCTGTTTTAAAAGGACATAAAAGTTTGGAAAACATTCATAAAATTATTTGAAATAAATTTAATAAGTATATAATAGTATTATGATGAAGAATAATTGTTTGATTAGCAGCCAGTTTAGAAAAAAGGTCGACTTTGAAAGATTAATTGTGCTATATATATATTTTTTTTTTTAATGAAGAGCAATGATATTATGATGTATACCTGCTGAGTGTAAATCAACTTGACCAAGTCATGGCACTGTTAATACTGTATACAGACAAGAGATAAGAAATTCCTGTTTGATCTTTAGTGTTGTTTTTTTCCTCTCTGGACGTACTTTGACCATAAGGGCATTAAGGACCTCAGAAATTGATGCAAGGCATATACAAGCAATATGGAATGACCAAGGTTATTATTTAGCAAATACATATTACCAGTTCCTTGGTGTCACATCGAGTGGAGAGATGGACTTAGCTAATATATGTGATTTTTCAAACTTTGAAGATACAGGCAAGTTTGCATTTTGATATTGATCAATACAGAGAAGAAATCAGTGTAATTTTTGATCATGCTGCTAAGTCTTACAAACTTTTGACTTGCATAGAGGAAAATGCAGTCCATTCACATGAATATACATTTTCATCAGTCTCTGAGATAAAAAATTATGTGACCCAAGTGTTTGTATAGGAGGAGAAGCAAGGAAGATGCAGTCTATTCACATGAATATACATTTTCATCAGTCTCTGAGATAAAAAATTGTGTGACCCAAGTGTTTGTATAGGAGGAGAAGCAAGGAAGATGCAGTCTATTCACATGAATATACATTTTCATCAGTCTCTGAGATAAAAAATTATGTGACCCAAGTGTTTGTATAGGAGGAGAAGCAAGGAAGATGCAGTCTATTCACATGGCAAAAAACTTAGAAGTTTCTACTGATATCATCATATGTTACAAAATGTAACAAAATTGCCAATTTGGCAACACCAAAGGTTAGATGTCAGGGTGTGGCCAAAGTATACAAGGCTCTGCTTGACTTTGTCCTAGAGATGTTGGGAAACTATTCTTTAAGAAGCAGTAATAACCTAACAGTGGTGAACTACAAACACAATCAACAGCTATGTAGCATACGTGAAGACTGGTAATTCCGAAACATATACTCACCTCTGTACACAGATAGCTAATTCTTCTTGAATTCGCATATTCAGCCTGAGAGACTTGCATGCCACCAGATTTATGAAAACTCCCACTTAATTTCTTGTGTGTCCATGTGAACTTGTGCTACTACACGATGATGTATCATGTAGCAAAATCCTCCACCAACATAAGTGTGACACACCTTCATGTACAAATACTCCCTCAACATTCATGCATGAAAATCATCATTCTTTTCCTCAACACAGTTGTATTCAGACGTTTTTTGAGTTTGCTGAGACACACAATTAAATTGAAATTGGAAAGTCAAAAAAAATAATCACAATTAACATACTTAATATGATTTCACAAATCAGTGTGAACTTTATCTCTGCTATGTGGGTAATGAAGTTCCTCACACAGAATAATTTACGAAAATTTCTTGTTCTTACTCCTTTACGTGTACATATAGGAGATTATGTGAGACATAGTTAACTAATACTTATGTAACACATAGACTATAAAGTTTGGTCATGATTCAGTGCTCCTTTCCTTGTACATATAATTGTTGATGTTTAGACATAGCTACTTACTCTTTAACATTTACATTTCGGTGGTAATGTTTAGATCTAGTTCATTACTCCCTAATATATAATACACAGAATATTATGTTTATTCCTAGTAACTTACTCCTTATGTCATATAGAAGGTAATTTTTCATCATAGATCATAACTCCTTAACCCTATCGAGGTGGGTAGGGGTCAGAGGGTATGTCATCACATTTGTAGACTTACATTCAATATTTTATTGATTGGACAACTATTTTATGAACGTATGTCAGTAAACTTGTATCAAATCATAGATTATAATCCAAATTTTAGTATTATACATTATTTAATTTCTTATTTTTTAAATAAATATTAAAAAAGTGCTAAATGTTGATTTTTGTGTGTTACGCTGGTATGCCATCTCCTGGGTTTGCTCAGATTTCATTTTATAATGCCCACAATACAACGATTATAGTTTCATATGAAATATAAACTCAAATTTCCAATATTGGCAAACTGGACTATAAAATATGAACCTCCTACCTTTTCTATTTGCTGAGATATCATAATATTTGTCGAATCCGCCATATTAGCTCCACCCACCACTTCATCATTTGAGACGACTTGTTTATCTATGCCTGGTTTTTTATACCTATAACTTTATAACCAATCAAAAGCTTTACATTTCCTGTACATAATTCTGTTAGTTTTTCTAAGTTATTTATGAGAGAAAAGCTCTTATATTGTTGGAGAGTTTGAAGTATTATGATCAATGCTATTTTCCAAACATAGATTAATTTTTCTAGACCCAAATACAGCATAGTTAGGAAGCCTGGTAAAGTACAGTAGATTTTTGTGGTATCAATCTAAGTCAGTTAGAATTTTTTGGTATTAAAAAAAGCATAAATAAAGTCTACAAAAATATATATTTATATGTAATGTATGGTAACCGAAACCTCACTTTACTTTTTAAAATATTGTAAACTAAGCATTTATTGGTTTCTGTGTAAGTATGATAAAATAGGAAACAAGATGTTTCAAAGCACTTTCACACCTATACCACCACCAAATCCTAACCACATAAGTTTATTGGATTGGGTACAACTTTGTACAGAGCCATATCA